CGCAGAAGCCCAGATTGCAAAAGGAAAGGAAAGGAATAATCGTATTCAAATTGATGTGTACGGGTGCAATTTGTATAGGTTTTGATTGTACGTATTATCATATAAAAGACTTCGCATTGTGTAATAGCGCGTGCTCTTTGCTTCGAGAGATACAGGACACATGCAGATTGTCAGGAACGGAACAAGTACCGAACCATATCCGAACAGCATCTGCCTGATAGTAGGAGATCGGGGAAAAATACTAAAGGTAGACGAATTGTATGAAGAATGAATGTTGCAGTCATATAAAATGTTCGCATTATCTTCACATATACATATTATCGAATATCTATGTTCCAGTGGTGGCAGCGGACCACCGAGGTTGGTAACTCCTAACGGGTGTTAGCTCATTTGACACCTTCTTGACTACTTCATAATACCTTACCGATTTTTATCGTCCACCTACCTAGCCCATAATTTCCGGTATTAACCGACCAGTACCCACCGGTTTAAGCAAACCCCAACCTTCGGGATTGGCATACCCTAACCACCAACCTCCGTCAGCTTACCATATTTGTGCCGCGTTATCGTTAACTTCTGGTAGTGTAAGTTATTGTAATTGTCCAAAAATCGAAAATGAAACGTCGTCGTCCAATTTATAAGCTCTTACATTTCGTCTATAAAATTTCTCGAATATTTCATTACTGTACAGAAAGTTCCAGCAACTTGCCTTAAGGCACGATGCCATAGTTATTGTTTGTTTGACGGAATTTCTGTGACAAAATTAAATAAAAAACCTAAACTTTCCACCGACTCCTCTTCTATAACCTGTGCATATAACGTGCACTTTTCTGGCACGCCTGTCCTGTTGCAATGATATTTTTTTACTCCTCAATTTCTAAGCATCCGCATATCAAATTATAGACTTGATCTTTATTGCGCAGATTGAAAAATACACCAACACGATTGTGAAGGTGTTGCCTCAGTAAAGGTGCACCAAATGAAAAGGAAAGGATCTTAGGTGAACTTTTTGATATCATAAGATTATCTTGATAGTAATAAATGATAGAAATTAGATGAAGAAATGACTTAAGTATCAATAACTAAACATTTGTACTTTTTTTTGCATATATTTATTGCCAATCATAGTATACATTATTTTTTAAGACAATATGCTGGACTTTATGCCTTTAATGAGTTTATCTCTAATGGGATATTTCCACTTTGGTACTTATTCGATAATTAAATTTTAGAGTAGTAGTGGTTGCTTGAAATTAATCCAATGGAAAAGAAACCAGACTTTGATCATTACTTTATCTTAGTAGAAATGGATACGAGGGTTATATTTGGATACAAGTTACAAATTACATCTCATTTAAAATAGAATCCAAACGTGTTGTTTTAGTTAAACATACTATTCTACGTGCTAGGTTTATTCTTAGCCTATACCAGCGGCTGCTGCTTTCTGGGGAAGATAATTATTCAAATACATGGGGGATGATACTGTACGTTCTCCAACTGAATAATCTTTTGCTTCTTTATATAGATAGATATAAATAAATATTTCTTTCAAAGCACATGCGTAACTTCCGCGGGAAGTAGATAAAAAGATTTACTTTGCGCAGGGGTCCTTCCAAAACGGTCTTCTGGAATTGCGTTATACGCAAATATTTTGTTCGTTACCGCATTTTTTGTTGGATACAGAAACGGAAGTTTTGTTTTACTAATATTTGCAAGATGCATATTGAGAATAATGTCACAAAAAATATTATATGCTAGTATTTTCTATTTTAAATCTGGATATGCTATTAGACGTCCATGGCAATAATGCAATTGAAATAACTACTGGTTATAAGTACCATTTTCCTATACGTATACATAATCAACTTTGAGATAGGACATTTTCACAGGTTTACTACCAAGAAACATGCATAACATAGCCATAATGACGATATGTTATCTGCTGTGTTACCGTAGAATTGGTCTATTTATAACAAAGAATTGAGATTGAGCTATTCATTTATTCCAATTAATATATTTTAAATATACTTATATCTCTATCAATTCTATGAAAATAATTAAACACATTTTATTTCATCCATTACTAAAATGCGCTTTATTTAAGTGTGGAGGTCAACCGTAATCAGTTGATTTCTATAAACACTGAACGTATATAGATGTTCCATATAGATACTTATTAGAATCGTATAAGATCATAACGAAATGCAATTTTTTATGAATTTTTATGATATAATCAAAATATAATATCAATATTTAATTACCAAAAATCTACACGATTTCCAATCAATATCTTTGGAACACTTCTAAAGCAATTACTGGAAATATAGAATACTTAAAATACAAATCACAAATTAGTTATAAAAATTAGAATTTACATTATAATATTATAACCATATAAAAAACTAAAATAATTAAAATATTTTCAAAATCAGATCTTTTACCTATCTATCCTATCATCTATATAAATTCAGTGTCATTGCTATGGGTTTTGCCTAAACC